CCTCCCAATCCCTACTACGAAATACTAAAACCGGTAAGTTATTCGTACATCATAGCACGCCAAAAGACTTGCTATAACATAAAGGCTACTCACCTCCAGAAAAAGATGAATTGCCAATTTCAACCTACCCGCAGAAAGAACACGCTATCAATGAATTTAGCTTGTCTCACAAAACACAAAGAGAAGTGTACCAAAAACATACCCCCACCGAGTATAATGTACAGTAGGATATGATATACTCGGCGAATATATCACCCCTACCATAACAACCAACTCCAAACAATTCAAACACAAACATAATCAATTTCCGGAGTTGTTAAATTTCTTAGGACATAAGAGTTAAGACCCCATGAGAGGCAAAAGTAAAAGAGGAAAAAGAGAAGATTCAAAAACAAATATGCGTTCGTACCTACTACATCATAAAAACGACAGTTGCCATCCATGGACCCCACAACGCCCCCCTGCACCAATTAAAAGCAATAAATTAACAGAACTGCATTAAAAAATATGGGTACTATATTTTAAAAATGTAACAGCAATGCAATCAAACCTTTCCATTGGGACAATAACAAACAGCAGTCACTATTTCTTTTACATCAGTCCAATCAATTACTCGGCAACCATGCACCTCCCAGAGACGTACTTTCCCATCTATTGAACCACTAATGAAAAAGTTATCATCCGCTGGATTGAATTCTACACAGGTGACTGCACATAGAACACGGCATTTACACATTGGTACATGATCATCTATCAACTGAAAGATTATAGAAAATACATGATTGCAAAGAGTAAGCGCACAGTCAAGATCACCATAGTTATTATGTGAATAAATGCCAAGACATTGATCATGCCCCACTTGCCAGAGACGAGCTGTTTTATCAACTGAAGATGACAGCAGATACTGCAGAAAATGATATCCATTACAAGAATTATAGCGTGTTAGTATACTTGAACCAGAAAGATATATATATTTTTTACAAAGAACCAGAAAGATACTATACTAACCCCATTTTTGGACCATGAAAGGGCCAGGACCTCACCCTTGTGTCCATGGAACTCATGCAATGGCTTCTCCAATATCCGGAAAATCTTTGGCGGGAATACGACGCAAGCTGATTCCGACGACTTTTTCATGATTTTTGACCCATTAATTTTCTCTCTACTGTCGTTCAACGAAGCTAGTTTTGACAGATGAGTCAGTGAGAAGTATAAACAAGATGGGTCGCTATCCTGAACATTCAAGTTGCTTGGAATTTCATCTGCAATCACCTTCCAAATGCGCACAGTGCCATCTTTGCCGGCACTTGCTAGATACTGGCCACAAGGACTAAACTTCATTGTTGAGATTGAGCCCTCATGTGCTAAGAACTCTTGCCCTGTGTAGAGTGAGGACAGTTCTTTTGACTCCTTACTACAAGTGTGGACCCGAACTCTATGAATGTGATTTCCTGGCTTCAAATTGGAGTCCTTAGCCTTCACTTTGTCTCCTATTGACCTCACCTTATTATGGGTTGCAACAGTGATCTTTTGAAGCCAACTCTTTTTAGCTTTTTTCTTAGCATCAACTGTATCAATTCCATCTGGTACTCTCCGCAGAAGCTTCTGAACCAAAGGCGATGACCCAAGAGTTCTCTGAAACTCTTCAGCAGTGAACAACCTGTTCGAACCTACTTCACGTACTTGGCTAAGTATACCATCCCGACCAAATTCATCCACAACAAACTCTACTCCGTTGTCCAAATTCCTAATTTTGCAATGCAATCTCGCCTTTGTTGCATCATCATCATCCTCCAATTCCAAAGCTTCATCAGACTGGGAAGATTGAGAAGACCAACCTGAGAAACAACTGTCTTTAGAATCTGAATTCGCCAGCACAGTCTCACCACTATCCCTAATTCTATTTACATCACTGTGTTCATCATGTCCATCAGGTCTGTCCCAACTCGAATTCGAACCTATCCATTTCAAAAATCTATCACGACGCTCATCAACACTTTCTAAATCCTTATTCCAAAACTCATATCCTAAAACACACTCATCACCCCCATCACGAGTGCACGCCTCGTTGCAATCAGAACCCAGATCAGAGACAGAAGTGATGTCATCACGGCTATCAAAGAAACATTCTTCTTCACTGTCACTACAACTTCCCATCATTCTTTGAACTCAAACTACAAAATCCTTGAAAGAAAATGAAAATAAAATCAGAAAACAGCCATTTAATCAATTAATCAACTAAGCCTCAACCCCAAACAAATGGGGTCAACAATATTAATATTCCGTGATGGCCGAAATTTAAATTCCCAATCAAATAGGAAAGACAACTCAAAAACCAAATACAAATTTTCTAACCAAACAAAAGAAATCCACATACATAATCAATAAATACGAAAATGAAACAAAATTGAGTATCAAAATCCACAAACATGACCATAACAATCAAAAGGTAAGGTCTTGTAAAAGACTAATAAGTGTTAAACCCATCATCACAAATATTAGAGAATAATTCATCATAATTTGAAAAGGGGGTTAAAAAAAATACAATCAATATGTGGTCAACACACAAGAAATAACTAAAACAATATGCTAATCAATTCTCCACCTAAAATGACAAAAAACCACCATTTTCAGCATAAAAGAAGAGACCTTTCCTACCTCAACTGCCATGAAATTAACCCATCATCACAAGTATTAGAATAATTAATCATAATTTGAAAACGGGTTCATAAAATATACTAATCAATAAATGATCAACACACAATAAATAACTAAAACATTATGCTAATATCGTTCTCTAACTAAAATGAACAAAAATTCACCATTTTTTCAGAAATAAAGACAAGATTTTTCATACCTGAACTGCCATGAAATCATGGAAAATCCCCCAGAAATCAGTTCACATAAAGGCTGATCTACTGTAATTAAAATCAAGACTGTGCACAAAAATTGGACCAAATAAGAAAATCTCAATAAAAAAAGGAACCGATTTCGACGTAAAGGCAAGGCCACATGGAGGAAGGTGAGTCGTTTTGTTATTTTCTTCTTTCTAATTTTGGATGTCACTTTCACTTTTTGAGGAACAAAACCAACGCCACTGTATATGTATATTAATAAGGTGACAGTTTTAACCCCCGAGATGATGTGTCCGTTCAACTAACAATTGTAACTATTGCGATTTTGGGTGCTACATAGTTTAAAATTTCACGAGTTCTAATATTAATTAAACCCAAAAAAAAAAAAATCATTTGTCTCATTTTATTTGGATTTAACTCGGCACAAAGTTTACGAATTTTTTTTAATCTAAAATAAATTATAGGCATTTATGTAACTATTAGTCTAGGATTTTATTTTTTATATTATAAATGTTCTTCGTGTTTTTTTTTTTTAAATAACATAAATAATATTCAAATTAAAGATGCATTTGGTATTATAAAATAAAAATTAACATAACATTTGAAGTTTCAAAGTTTTGGACCTAGTCTAGTGGTTCCTCCTCCAATTGTTCTAGTACTTGATTCATTAAACAAAAATGTTAGAAGAATACTATTTTATTGAGAGGTAAAAGATCGTTCAATTTTACACGAACTTTTAATAATATATATTGTTTTAAAGGATATATTAGTTATTTACAACTCGAGTTTTATATATACATAGTTAATAAAAACTATTCCTTTCCTAGCAGAGAAGAGAAACTAACCTCCCTCTCTTGTTGTTCAAATAATCCGTTCTTTAAATATCTACTTCATTTTGTCTGTCAACATATTACAACAATTGAATAATCTAGTTTCTATAAATATTTTTATTTCTTGATTTTCAGAAAGTATTAATAGTGTCATATAAAATGAGATAGAGAATTTATTGTGTCACCGAAATATGATCAATTCATCGACATATTGTTCCTATTAGTTCAACTTGTTAAAGTATGTTTTAGCTAGACTAAGTGCTCTCTAAAATGTTTTGTCCCTTGACTGCTACGAAAAGTTCGAATTAAATTTTAAGTGTGCAAATCAAACAAAATGAATACTAGATCAGAAGAAGGTTATTTTATGAAATTATGGATGAACTTTCCCATCAAAATAATATTAGACCTGTAATGTTGAGAAAAAAATAGACAAACGCCAAAATATGTTTTTGAAAAGTAGGCTAACAATATTCTTACGAATTAATTGTTGACCAAAATGTGAGGTAACAATATAATATCACCAACTCTACACGCCCCTTATTCAATTCTGGCCAACTGAATGGGTGTCGCTATTTATTTATATATAGAGAGAGTTACATATTAATTAGTACATAAATTAATTAATATATTGTTTGCAAAATCACACCGAAATAAAATTATGAAATATATATTACGCATGGACTATGGTATATGCTATGCAACACTCCACTTTTAGAGTCGTTCACTAATTCTTAAATGTTTATTTATTTTCGAGTCGACTAATCATTTAAAAAAAATAGAATTATTCAGTGCATGTGCTAATGGATAGTAAGTAGTCTAAATTTATTTCAAACACAGTAATTATTTTTAAAAAAAATTAAAACTACTACTAATACCATTTCAGGACCAAAAATAAAGAATCCATTTGGTAATTTGACTAGGATCATATTATGTTCAATTATATTTATAATCTAATCGAATCGTTGTATTACCACCATTAACATAACTGAATTAGTCTTCTTTTCTTATACTAATTTGTACGAAAAAATGTTATGTCAGCACAAGCGCGTGTTAATATCTTATGTTTGACCCTAACATAATATAGATTCTCGTCCTCATATGGAGTATATAAGAACACTAAAATTCCAAAAAAAAATACAAAAAGTTGGAATAGTTGCCTCTTCCTTTGGTCAAAATAGCGTTGCTGTTTACTATTTGAACTTCCATTTTATTGCGAAACATTTTAGTTCAGTTTAAATTTTGTGCATTGACAATATAATTTCTTTTATACTATTAGGTAAAATTAATCTACAGACTATGACAATATGTAACATTTTATATCAAGACTGATATAGTAGCTTAGAAAAATACAAAAATAACTTGCTATAACCAATAAAAATAATTTTCACATGTAACTAAGTTATGCCCTAATGCAACACAATACCTTCATTTCATGAGCATTTCTCTTTCGTTAAAAAAGTAGCCCGATCACAAAGTATCCTGCATTCACGCAGGATTCATAGAAGGGTCGCATCCCTAGAGGTATGATATAGACAACCTACCCTAAAACAAGTATTAGTGACTGCTTCTACGGCTCGAACGCATTACCTATAAATCATACAAATTATAATTTTTCTATTGCTCCAAGGCTCCCCTTCTTTCGTATAATTCGTCTCCAACATAAATATTAGTAGTATTCCTTTGCTAGTTTTTAGTGGAGGATGCTTGTTTTAGTGGAGGATGCTCGTAATAAAGATATTCATATCAGTGGCGAAGACACATGGTTACGAGACAACCTTTCGTCGAAAAATTACACTGTATATATAAATAAAATATTATATTTTAGACATATAATACATATTCAACAATCTACGTCAGAAAAAATTATATAAATAAAATATTATATTTTAGACATATAATACATATTCAACAATCTACGTCAGAAAAAATTATATAAATAAAATATTATATTTTAGACATATAATACATATTCAACAATCTACGTCAGAAAAAATTATATAAATAAAATATTATATTTTAGACATATAATACATATTCAACAATCTACGTCAGAAAAAATTATATAAATAAAATATTATATTTTAGACATATAATACATATTCAACAATCTACGTCAGAATAATTTTTTCGCTTCTTTCGTATGGCCAAGTTTTTCATTTATGAGAATGTTATGATATGTAGCAGTAAGGTAACCCATACCATAACCGGTGCATTACTATCTTTTTCAGGTAATTTTGCTTTATCCATAGGCCAACCTATTGGCATTTACTAATATTTAATTTAATTAGTTGGGGTCATGCCACGTGATTGATCGTTGCCTCATTCTTTATGGTTTTTGTACCCATATTCATTAAAAGTAACTTGTTTATTTTTGGAGTGATTTCAAATATCCAATTTGTCATTTTTTTCAAGTGTTTTACATCTTTAAATATTATATTAATTTTAAAAACTAAAAACAAGTTAACAAGATTTGAGAAAATAAGCTCTTTTTGCTAGAAAGGGGAAAAAACAAAAAGCTCGACTTTTGGTCAATTGATGGTTAACAAACTGCACCGCCCAATTTCTCCCTATTTCAGCAAAAGCACAGCACACATTTAGTTCCCGTAGTAACAAAAAATAAAATAAAAATTTAGCAAGAAAAAGAAAAATCTCAACTAATTTTTTATAACGTAGTTAACAAGTGAATAAAAAATACAAATTAATAATATAAAAGTTCGTTCTGATTTCAATTTATGCATTTTAATTTTTGAGTTGATTGCAACATCAACCCGCCTTAATTGACAAAAGGACACGGAGCATTTTGACTCGGTTTTGCTTGCATTTTAATTAATCATTAAGCGTTGGAATAGCTCCTTTATTTTGTACAATAAAGCTGTCCTAGTAGCGTTGAGCTTTGAGAGGTGGACAGAGATACTTTCTTTTGATTTTCCTCGTAATGTTCGGTATTCTTATATGGATAGATTAAATTCGAATTGTGCCAGAAAACCTACGCCGGAAAGTAAAGCGTTTCACAATAAAAATGACTTTCATATCTAAAGTTCGAATTGAAAACATCTAACTAAAGATGAATAAATTCTTTATCACTCGACAATAAACCATATTGGTAGAGAGTGATACTTTTTAGACCAAGAAATTGCACTTTCTGCCCTATCATATATATATATA